TTGACCTTGAAGTTGACGGGCCCAATCCACTCTTTGCTGAGGTGCCAGGCACAACAGCTGCCCCAGTCTTCGAGTTGCGCCTTCATTTCTTTGAATGTCATACCTTCGGGCTGCAAAGTCAGGCGCTTCAACTTAAGGGGGGGGCGGTACAGGTCCATCAGGAACCGCCAGAGAACAAACCAGTTCAGAAGAACTGCCCTTTGTTATTTCTTTGCCGTTGGCAATGGGTAGACTCCTATTTGCCAGGTGGACTGATTTTCTCTCTGTCCAGCTTAGACACAGGATGATCCAATGCGGGGTTCTTGGGAGCAAGCCGGTTCGCCATGTTCCATGACTCTTCCGTGCGCTCGGCACATCCCCATGAGACTCATTGGGTGCATTTGAGGTCCCCTACCAAACCTTATGGCCTGCCATATTTCATGTTTGGTACCTGGGTGTGGTTCTTCTTTTTTTAGGTCCAGGACTTTCATGGGAGTCGGTTTTCCTTCAGAACCAGAAGCAGGCGTTCTGCAAGAAAAGACACACCCATTTTCCCTGGCCAGGAGGTTTTAAGAATGGATCTGAGTTGGATCTCCAGAGATTCTTTGGCAGTCGCACAGTCTCTCCTTAGATCCAGGCACTACTTGGCAGGCTTGTGCCTCTGCCCTTGCCAACAAGACGACCAAGCCACAGCATAAGCGCTCTTCTTCCCTTTACCCCTGAGCAACCCTTTTTGAAGGCTAGCGCATTCGTGCGCCCGATCTGACAATTCAGGTGTGTTGCGTCTTTCGGACTCTTGTTCCTTAGTTTTCTTTCCCAAAAGCACCAGGTGCTGCCGCACTGGGACAAGGAGGCGCCTTCAGGGATTAAATCTTGTCCCTCCGCCTCGGATCCTGTTACTTGAGTTCGTGAACTATTGTTTTAAGTTTTCACACCATAGCAGGGTGTCTCTTTTTGAGGGCGCCCCCTTGTTTGTATAGTGTTTGCGAGGGAAACAGAAGCCATTTTGGTCCCCTAAAACAAGACACCAGATCAGGGCAACCAATTGCTTGGACTTCGCTCTTTTTGGCTTCTCAGCATTCTGTTAGCCAATAGACATGGCCCAAGAATTGCGCAAAGGTTTCAAGGAAAAGAAAGCGACTTCCAGCCAATAGAAACCTCATTTGAATCATGAGACTTTGATGGGTCCCCAAAGTGGCAGTTTCAATGGAAACCACCAGTAAATTGCAACCTTTGAAGAGAAGTGTCATTGTTGATTCCTTTTGTGGAGCATTTGAAGCAACATGAGCCACAGGCAAATGAGCAACTGGCAACCCGGTTGGTGATGAAAACTACATGTCGCCGCGGTGGTATCCAGAAGTGCTCCAAACCACGGGAACGAAATAGTGAACCCTCCAAAACGATCAACCTAAATCGTCATCAGTCAATAGCTAAAAGATGATGAATAGCAAAGCTGTGCACTTCTTTGCTGGGAAGCTAACGACTATAGAACAATAACGGGATAGCCATTTCCTTGGCCCGAACTTGTAAACGGGCCTTTCCCCTTTTTGGATTTGTAGCCATGAGCGATGCCCACCTTGAAGCGCTTTGTCCAAGCTCACAAATGCCTGGTGCAAAACAAGTTGCTTGGCCACATCAACAAACCGATATAGTAAAGCCCCAGCAACGATGACTTGAACTTTCGAAGAGCGTTTTCCAGAAGTGCAGTTTTGCCGGTCGCTCAGATAACAGTTCCCCACCCACCGGGAAGCGACAACTGCTTTCGGCACAACGGTCAATTACCACCCCGAACATGTTCCACGCACCACGCAAAGCCAACTTGAGCGGGAGGCTCACCGGGAAGGACCATGCAACTCTTCATTTGCACGTAGCTTTGGACAGCCAGTTGTAGCCAGCCATTTCATCGCAGCCTTCGGAGAAGGCTCAAAGTTTGTCCATCTTCACGCCACCGTGATTTGTCCGAGCATGTTTGGAGGAATGGCATTGTCAGTTGCCTACGCAGCTTGCACAACCCAATCTTCGTTCTTCGTGAGATGAGCCACAGGTTATTCAGACTATTGGGGATGAGCAACCACAATTGGAATCGGAACATACCCAGCAATGTCTGGGCATCTCGGTGCAAGGGACCGGATGCTTACTGTAGTTCCTTTTGTGGACCCTGTTTATGGGCCACTTGGATGACTTACAACTATGGCCTTGATGGATTACCAGGGTTACTCCCTGCAAAACATGGAGCAGCCCAAAAAGGGTTCCCCGAGAAAGAGTTGCAGCTACAAACGAGGGGTTGTTGCGTTCCATGTTCGTTTGTGCGTGTGTGTGTGTGTGCGCCTTAAAGTAGGATTTGGACCTCCCAAAACAGGATTTCGGTTTTCCTTGTGGTTTCCTTTTTAAACTCCACCAGGACAAGGTGCCCTTAAACAAATTTAGAGCCACATCCTTGTACAGCCGCTGCTTTTTACATGCGAACATGGCACCTTTGTGCCACTCAAAGTGAGCATCTTGAGGGACACCGACACCACCCCAACGCAGCGAATGGATCGCTAGGTGGACGCAAAGCACCGGAAGTTCAATTGGCGGCCGCCGGAGGAGTCGGCACCCAAGTGGGACAAGAGCTCCATGTGTTTCCAGGGCCTTACGAATGGATGAAGATGCAACGCCGTATGGTTTTGCTAGGTTTAGTCAATTTTCAGCAAGAAAATTATATCTATGTGTATATTTGTCAAACTAGTGTTGTTTTGTTTCAATTGCCCAAAGTGTGCTTCCAATTGCCATGCAGTGACGCGTCCGCCGTCGTTTCACCACACCTTGGCCACCTCGACGAGGTCTCTGGGCGCAGAGAAATGAAGACGTGGGTAGTCGAAGCCCCCAAAGCAGCGGCCTTTCGCCAGGTGATGCCTTGGTTTGAGGCTACTTCTTTACAGGCAGTGAGACTCAAATAGGCAAATAGGTTTCTTGTTGGTGTGTGACGGTATGTGTCTCGAAATCGGGGCGCCTGCGGCGGTTCTTTTCCGTTGCCTTCAAACAAACCTCACAAAGAAAACCACGCCCAGTGTGTGCCTGGCCCTTTGTAGGTTGCCTCAGGCTCAGCAAGTCTCGTTCTGTTTCCAGTAAACACGTCTTGCAGTCATGTGTGACCTCAAAGGTATGGCGTCAAGCAGCTAAGCAGAACAAATCGGTCCGATGTTCATGCGAACCACTGGGCCTTCCTTTTTTTAAAAACAGTTGTCAGATTTTCTTGTTCTAGATCTAAGCTGCACGCACGCAGGAATTTAGACGGTTTGTTCTAGCGCCACGTTGTAATCGAACCACATCCTCTCTGCAAACATAGCAATGCGCTTGTTTGTTACCGACATTTGGACATTTGGGTCATTTTAACTTTCTGAAGGTAGGCAACCGTGTTATACATACATGATTCTGAATTGAGAAGCTTCTTTTGCCCACAGTCAACCTTTGGGGTTTTAATGGTTTGATTGGGTCAAGCTTCACAACGTAGACCTTTTATTTGGTCTTCGTTGCTGAGCTTCGTGTCGGTAACGCCATCACTTTGCCATTTAAACGGGCACAGTGCTTGGCAACTGGTGGCTTATAACCCACTTAGTCGGCTTACAACCATGGTTCTGAGTAGTATAAGGGCCTAAGCAAGGACTCATGGCAGACTCCCCTAATGACAACTAAAATCTTGGTTTAAAGGCACCCCCAAACCCTAGACTAGGTCCCGCAGTAGTGCCCGTTTACCCTTTTTTTGGGGAGAGTTCCCCTATTAAAATAGACTACAGAAAAAAGGGCACCCTTGTTCTAACCTCTCTACTGGAGGACCTAGAGTTAGTCAGGCCCTTATTCTGCCCTGCTCTCCTTGCACTTGGAGAGCTTCACGTCCGCTTTGTCGCACCAGAGGCCGCACTCGCCCTTCTACCCAGAGAGGGGCACGTACAGGCGCGTGAACTTGTAGCTTGGTGCTGGTGGCACACCAAAGCGGAGCAGACCAATGGGACCCAATCAACCAAACACAGCAGCATCTGACATGCCAAGCCAACATTTGGTGGTTTCTGCAGGTCAATCGGCCTTAGATCATGTGACAAAAGCAAGCATGGGCAATTGAAACGAGGAAACACATCTTCGTTTCGTTGTGAAGCGCATCAAGCTGGGCACGAGTCTTGCGACACATTCGGACTGCTTGAGCTCAGCTGTCATAGCTCACCCCCAAAGGGTTTCGGGTCCCCAGGAATGCTCGCGTTTGCTGGCTGTTGGGTTCCACGTGAAAAATCGTAGGGTGTGTTGTTTGAGCATACCAGTTTACTGGCAAATGCCAAGCTTAAACTTCCTTTTGTCAATCCTTTCAGGAAGTGAGTTGGTTTGCTCTTTCTTTAGCCATGGCCCAACACGTAATTGTCAAGAATCTCAGGTCCTTTTGATTGCACCTTAATACTAACTATGAAATGCTTCAGGAGAGCTATCCGGGAAGTTACATCATTTCCCAACCGCTTGCTGATCCTAGATGCCTGGAGTCAAATGGAGGAGTTGCCTCAAATTGGCAACCAACTCTATCGAAATGGTTGGAACCGAATTGCCTCCGGAGAATCCAAGTATCTGCACATTTGCATTTCGGAGGCCGGGGTTTAGGGCAAGCCACTTCACGGGTCTGGAAAAGTGGGTTAGCAACAGGTTCGCCAGTTGGGTTCGAAGCAGCGGCCTGGGTTTTCTACAGTTGAACATGCGGTTTTGCTCAGCCCAGATTTAACGCTCAGATCTTTGTTTGCGTGACCCCTCACTCCAAATGCCCACTGTATTGGGCTAACATGTCAGCCCTTCACTGTACACATTCAAGTATTTGCCCTGAACAAGCAAGGTTCTCCAAGTAGTTGCCCTACCAGAGGCTCGAGACCTTCGTTGGCCAACACGAGCATTCGGCTCCGCGCTTGTTCTGTTTCCAGACTCTGAGTCCCAGAAACCTCGTCTCTGCGCCGTGAAGCGGCCGTCGTCTTTGCAGTCGTGCCGGGACACGGACAGACCAGGGACCGTCCATGCGAGTACTTAACTTGGGCTTAGGGCCGGTGGGCTTCTTCAAACAGGAGCTTAGAGGGGCATTGCAAGGGTTCCCAGTCAGGAAGCCATCCTGAGTTCACTCCATGTCCCCCCGAAAGTCCTGTCCTTTTTGGCAACTGGTGGAGTTCTGAGCATGGCACACATCCACGTCCACGTGCACTTGCCCAGCGGCAGCTGCTGCCTGGTACCACTGGCGCCGGAGTCGCTGGTCGCAGATCTGAAGTCGGCCGCCCAGCGAGCTTTGGGCCGGCGGTTTCTGAGCCTCGTGGCGAATGGACGACAGCTGGACCTGGCCAACAGCCTGAACCATGGCTATTGCCAAGCACATGGTGTAACATGATTGAACAACTGTTTAAACCTGCTGTTGGTTTCGTTGTGCAGAAATTACCAGTTGGTCGGTTCTTTTCAGTTTTCCCCCCTGGGGTTGATCAAGCTTTCCAGTAATAAGTCTGTCCGTTCAGGGGTGGGCCGTCTCCGGATCGTTACTCTGTGAGCTCACGCACGTGTCTCCAAGGAACATGGGGACTCACTAAATGTCCCGCAGCCAAGAGACTCACTCAATCCATGCCCTGCTGCAAAAATAGTCAGCTGTGGCTCAAATAAGCTGAAGATGAACGCGGAAACCCAAAACGGGGTCCTCTCCCAGATGCAGACTTATGAGAAAGCCGGGCTTTGTTGGCTTCCATTTTAATCTGTGGAAGGGTTGGGCGAAACCTGCTTAGCCAATCAGACCCTGTCCCAGGAAACCAAAGGAGCTATTTCTGAAGCAGGGAGTTGTTCAGCCCAACGGGCCCAACGCCTTTTGGCACTTCGCGGGGGGTCAGATTTGGGCCCAGGAGCCAGGCTGGCGTGGGAGATGGGGATAGCGTTGATGCCGTTGCCCAACGCGTGGAGATGAGTGCCACAGATGAGGCAGTGGCGCTGTATGTCAGAGGGGGCGGTGTGGTTACATGGGGCATGGCAAAACGAGGGGGTGACAGCAGCCAAGTGCAAGCACAGCTGAGGAGGGTGCGCCAGATGGCCGGGACGCAGGCTGCCCTTGCTGCGGTGCTTGAAGATGGCACTGTGGTGACGTGGGGCCATCCAAGTTTTGGCGGTGACAGCAGCCCGGTTCAAGAGCAGCTGAGACCGGTCAAGGAGATTCAAGCAACGTCGCGCGCTTTTGCCGCTGTTTTGGAAGACGGTACTGTGGTGACTTGGGGCAACGCGGGCTGGGGCGGTGACAGCAAGCAGGTTCAGTCTCAGCTGACGCGGGTTCAGCAGGTACAGGCCAACGGCCATGCGTTTGCTGCCATTCTGGATGGAGGCATTGTGGTGACATGGGGCGTTCCCAGCTTCGGGGGTGACAGCAGCAAAGTTCAAGAGCAGCTGGTGCAAGTGAAGCAGATCCAATCAACTCACCTGGCGTTCGCAGCCATCTTGCAGAATGGGAGCGTGGTCACATGGGGCGATGACAGCGCTGGCGGAGATTGCAGCAAGGTGCAAGAGCAGCTGATTGAAGTGATTCAGATTCAGGCAACTTCATCGGCATTCGCGGCTCTTCGGCGTGGCGGCAGCGTCGTGACATGGGGCGACCCTCGCAAAGGAGGGGACAGCAGTCAGGTTCAGGCAGGGTTGGGCCAACATCCTTAAACCTGATTGAACGGACGAAATCCATGCAGCACTTTGAAGCGATGGTTGACACCATGAAGTCTGTTGGCTTTCCGTAGATCGAACCCTAGGGTTTCTTTGGTGCGGTGTCTGGATTTCGCAACCATTCACATTTGTTAAACCATTCTCCATTCTCTTGTGGATCGGGAAAGCGAAATGTGCCCATGGCCTGACCCCAAACAGGACCAGCTGAAAGGTGTCGAGCAGATCGCTTCAACTCATCATGCCTTTGCAGCGGTTCTGGAGGACGGAATGCTTCCCCCGAATTGTGTGGTACTACAACGGCCAAAGCAAATAAAATACAGTTGTGCAGGGACCTTAACGTCGTGAGCGTGAGATGGGAAGGTCATTATATTCTCAGTTGCCCAAAGCTGTCCTTTTGTTCCATCTGTTGTTTCCAGGTCTTTGGGCAAGTGAGTATTGGTTCCTCAGGTCTTGGCGCGAAGCGCAAGCAACGGTGGATGTCCTTGCATCATATTGCAAGTTGGACTCAATGCACCTTCAACCATGGAATTTCTGAAATTTCTGGTTGGTGTACTTGCAATGTGGTAGGAACATCCGAACCCGAGGATTCCGTTAACGAAGCCCAGGACGAGACGGTGGTGACCTGGGGCGATCCTGACGCGGGTGGCGACGCTTCGCACCTGAGCGGCCTGAAGGCGCCGTGGCCGTCTGCGACGTCTTTGAATATTTGGCTGTGGTCAAAACCGTTTTGGGATCCCATTTTGGTGGATTTGGATTGAATCGGATGTTCACTGGGGGTACGATTTGGTTTTTGACCCATGGCCATTTGGGTCGGGAGTGAACCTGAAACATTAGGAGGGGGCGGAGGTTTCCTTCCAGTGTGCCCTTAAGACTGTCAAACAAGGGGGGTGTCCTAAGAAACACACGTGAGAGACACACAAACACACAAACACACAAACACACAAGCACACAAATACACACACACACACAAACACACACACACACACAAACACACGCAAACACACACACACACACAAACACACAAACACACACACACACACACTTGAACTCCAGATGGAGAGTGCTAATCTTTCGAGTACAACTGATGAGTCTCGAGTACAACCGACAAGTCTCGAGTAGGATGAGTTTCGGCTCGCAAGGCACTCGGTTTCCCTCTAGAGGCGAAAACGTTACAGAATCAACATGAAGCACACACAGCGAGAGAAGCAACAGGCCAAAAGGACTTTACATCACCAACTCCAAATGTCGCAGGTACGTCGAGGTGATCAGCCTCGATATCCGCATTTGCTGTGGCCGCTTCGTTGGACCATCGCACACAGCAAACGGATGGTCCCCCTGCTGCAACAGAAAAAGGTTTTGGTGGCAGGGTTTTCTGCCACTCCGCACACACACGCCCCTCTACGAGGGGCGAGGTTTCTCTTTTCTCCTGCAGGAAGATCACATGCTCAAACTCAAATCTCTATCGTTGACCAAAATATCCTCCACGGCGAGGGGAGCGAGACACCGCCCTAAGCCGCTCAGAAGACGGGAACGAGAGATCACCACGTTGAGCATTGCGAGTGTCGCCATAGAGGACTGAAGCGATTTGCGAAGCAGCCGGGCGATCACCATGAGAAAACGGAGTGGCATAGGTGAAGGTCTCCTCAACTGGAACGGCATCGGAGTTTCGAACTTGACCAAGAGACTGATCATGTGGATAGTGAGTTGCGAAGGACTCAATCCGAGACAGAATGCGCTGGTACCCTTGGTGTTGCCAGTCACGGATGTCCCATGCCTGGACTGGCGCATTGGGATCAGTCACCCGCTGCCATTCCCGAAAAGAATTTTCAGGTAGATCAGGTACGGCGTCACCGCGGTGCCATCGTTGAGGCTGTCCTGGAGTGTATATCCGCACCCACTCCTGATCCTGCCAGACCGAATATTCGAGCCATGGGTGCTGCTTCGAATCATCGATGTCCATGTCGAAGCAAGAGGCAAGGATTGTCGCGGGCTCCGATCCAGCTAGTAGATGAACAGGCACCATGCACAACCATGTTCAAACAACAACCAAGCAAGATCATGCAAGTGTAGAGACCACCCTTATTTTGTACGCTGCGCTGCTCATGCGAGTCTAGTCCTCAGTCAGCTCGAAGACGGGACTCATCTTGTCTCGGCCGCTGTCGGAAGGATTCACGGGCCGGTAGGGGTCGGAGACCCCAATCGTCTCCGATGGTGTGCTTCCACGCGATGCACGTACTGGTTGATGAGGATGGGAAGCTAGACGTGCGCGAGCCGTCAGTTGTTGAGAAATCCCCTCCTGGAGTCAGTTCCTCAGTAGAGAAATCAGCCGCATCCGAGGACCTGAGAATCGCGTCTAACAGCTCCGGCGACATACTCAATGCCGCAGACTGCGTGGCCACGCTGTGATGATCGGGGGGATACATGGAATCAAATTCATGACCAGCGTGAGGGGCAGCGATTCTCCGATAGCCCTCTGTGGCCCAGTCTCGTTTGTACCACGTAGTGACTTGGACCTGCCCACCGACTGAGTCCTGGTTGGGAGCATAGAACTCCCTCCATTCTCTAAAAGTATGCGGAGGAGGTGGAGCATCATGTTCTTCTTGTGGCGTCCATGGTCCCGGATGAAAGATCTTGACCCACTGGGCATCTGGTTGTTGAGGGTCCGGGCACCATTCCAGCCACGCCATGACAACGCAACCACGGAAAGACAAGTTGATAGGTGTACGGCTGCAGACAACAACGAGTGAAAGCGAAACAACTATCATAATGCAAAAGACCACTTTTGTAGCACTGCGCGGCTCCAGCATCGAAGTCAGTCTCCCGAATCGAATTGAACTGAACAGACTCTCCAGGAAGGCGAGGACGGGCATCAGCCATCATGTGAATTAGATGATGCCGAGGAGGAGGTCAATCCAGCATACATGAGGTCCGGTGCACCCGAAGCGAAAACTGGCCTCGCTATGCTGGGATGTGGACGACCCAGGCGTTGGTACCCCCTGGTGACCCAGTCCCTGTAATACCAAGTGTAGAAGGTGGCGTAGGATACCGGTTGCAGAACCGTGCCTGTGGTTGTGCCGCCTGTGCTTTCCCTGGGCCAGTACACTTCGAAGTGGTGGACCTTGCGCCATTCCCGATAGGTGGTCGGGTCATCCGGGGCCGGTCCCAGGGTGTCAGTGGCTACTGGATGCCACTGACCCGGTACATAGATCCGAATCCATTCCACACTCGTTCCTGCTGGCCCATTGACGATGTCATAGTCAAAATAGCGAGGTAGGACCCATCGTGCTGCACCCTGCACCGTACTATTGAACATTTCAACCCGACAAGCTGCTCAAAATTATCAAGGAAAGCGGCGGACACATAGAGACGACACCAAGCAAGACAACCCAATGTGGACTCACATACAAAGCAAGCACAACCGCATCTTTATCCAACATGCTACTCAAGTGTCAATCCGAATCATTCCAAGGATCATGGAATGGCGGCGGTGACGGTTCCCGCCACGCCCCATCCGGTACCGACGAGCCCACCGAGGACTCGACGTCTGCATTCACGAGCATCGCGAATCCGATGGATTGTACAGGAGGTCCAAGTCGTTGATACCCTCGTGTTTGCCAGTCTTGGTACTCCCACACGTGGTAGGACACATAGGAACTGGGGGTGACTATGGGATCCATTGTGGTGCCTCCGGTGCTGTCTTCAGACCAGTACACTTGGAAGTGCTATGATCTGCGCCACTCCCGGCACGTGGAAGCGTGAAGTGGGTCAGGAACTGGCGCCTCATCAGGAACGGGTCTCCAAATGCCCGGAGAGTAAATTCGAATCCATTCCACTCCTCTATCGATCTGGTACTCGAAATACTGGGGGTTCATAGCAGCAATACGGGCTTGCACGACTGCTAAACTAGTCGAAAGTCTGCGGCAAGGACACACATGCATTGCCAACCGCACATATCCGCTGGAGAGTGAGGCAACTTTTCAAACTCAAGGTGAAACACAGCAACGAGGTCTGAAATGTCTGACTCCTAGGTTTCACTGTCGTTGATGTCGCGCACACCTGCAATGATAGTGTACGAGCACAAGGGGAAAGACATTTCCGTCCATGGCGCAGGATGGCGTGACAGTAATGCTTGCATGTTGCCGATGCGGACTGCGATGGACGGCCAGCACGTTTGGAAGAAAACACTGTAAAGGGCCGTCGAGATCGCCGCGGCGCTGAAGCTGATGCTGTCCGAGATCGTTTGGACGAGCGCCCTGGACTGCGTGGTTCTTCATCACGGGAAGGGTCAGTGCTGTAGATCGAGCGGCGTGCGCGCTGCGATTTCGAAGAGGTAGGGCAGGATTGTCCGCGAGGGGCTGAGATCGAGGGGCTGCGTACCGAGGGCATAAACTGTGGGTGTAGAATCACCGGTGGTGGTGGTGGTGGTGGAGGAGGAGGTGGAAGAAGCTATGGCAGACTTGGCGGGGGCGGAGGCGACGTAGTCAGCCGAATGGGTCTGTCGAGTAGAGCCCCGGGTCCATGAAATTGTAACCACGTCGGCTGCGCTCCATGGGTCCAGGTAATGTACGTCTGTACAACTTGTTCCGACATGATTTGAGCAACTCAGGCAAGACTTCACTGCATGTCAACGACATCTCCCAAAACGACAAGCAAGATTGAGTCACGTGCAAGCAAGCAAATATCATGTGATCAACAACTCGAACCGGACACACCGCCGCAGCTTACCATTTAGTCCTTCGATGGTCGCTGCTGCATTTGACGACCATGTTCCTAGCCGCGAGCCTCAAGTTGTTGATAGACCTTCCATGCCTGCTTGACTTCCTCAATCGGCTTCTGAAGAAACCGAGCTATGGTCTTATAGGTGGGCCTGGAATCCTTGTCTTTCTTCCGTCTCACCATTTCATCCAGCTCACCCTGTGTCCATGCCGTGAAAGGTTCGGTATGCATTGCGAAGTGCAATGGTAAATTCTTGTAGAAGTTCCCTAGGACCATGAACCACCGTAGGCGACGGCCGGAACGACGAGGCACCTGGATGCGGACGTACCGAACCATCAGAATCCGAATCAGGTGTCGTAGGCGTCGTCTGTCCTGGCTCTCGGTCACCGTGTGCCGCGAAGGGAGCAAGTGGACGAGGCGGTGGCAGTCGATCCAACATAGATTCGGGCCGAGTACCAGGATTGTGGTCACTAGCATCACGATGTGCCGCTCGAGGCGGGGACAAAGCCGGTATGTACCAGGTAGATGACGTGTCCACCGGTCGAGCTCGAATTCGTGTGGGGGATCGAGATCTGTCAGATGAGGCGCGCTCCGTGATGATGCGGGGCCGCAACCCATGTCTGGAGTTTCTTGGTGCTCTCGGGGCCACCACCGTGTCTGTCGGACGACCACGCTCCGTCATCAAGGCAAAGTTCAGGGTGTCCAGAGCTGTCGCAACTTGGGATGCAAGGACATTGAGTACAGCCACCAGGTTATTCACAAACTCAGCTGACAACTGCATGGCAACCGATCAAACAACAAGGTCAACTCAAGCAAAGCTGCAAAGCTATAACGCTGCGGCATGACAGAGATATGGTGCATGCAAGCATGAATGTAGCAAACGCTGAGGTACTTTTGTCGCTGTTGCTCCGTCACCGTTCATAAGACAGACCTGATGGTCGGCAAGCTGGCATGGCTT